ATTTATAGATGCCTGATGACTATTTTCTTTAAGAATTACCGTGATTAACTGTGCATTATTTCAGGCAAATCCCTGTATATGAGCCCCATACATGATTTGCCAAGGGTTGGAGTTTTATTTTGTTTTCCGTAAGTAATAAAATCCCAACTGGAATTCAGAAATGGGACTTCACTAGCTCAGGTAAATCAGACAGAATAGACTTGAGGCACTTAAAACGGGTCCCCTGAAACCTCAGGCCATGTTCTGGGGTAGGTGGACTGAATTGGGCAGGGCAGCCGCCAGCGCTGCGGGCTTATGCCTTGCCGGTGTGGTAATGCTAATATAAAGTTCTTCCTGGGACCCATCCTGGTCAGCTGCCACTTTCGACTGAGTATGGCGGCTGCGTGTGCTAACCCTGTGCCCATTCTGGAGTGGCGGCAAAGTCGCGATCGCCTTTAGCAGCAGCATGCTCTTGCTGCTGCTGGCCAGTACTCTGGAGTTGGTCATTTCGTGTCGCTGGTGAACCAGTGCATACCCAGTCTGTATTTCTGGAGCAAGAAGAGCCGCGTGTACGCTAGTGTGGGGCTAGCAGCAAGATGGCGAACGCTGATTGGATGCGCAAGCTCTACCCACCATTGTACTTCATGGAGCTTCGAGATTAGATGGGGGAGGGGAGATCTCCGTTTCTATTTCTGGCTCTAGTTCAAATAAGAATTTGTTATGTCCCTTAGGCAGCTGTGCCAGACAGTGCTCTCAGCTCTAGAACTATTTGGTATCCAAACAATGCAGAGTGTGCGAGGTCAGGGAGACCTGACAGGAAAAAACTCCTCTTAGAACTTCCTGCTTTGGGTCATGGTATAATCACAGCAAATAATACAGATTTCCCTTTTCTTATAACCACAATAGAAAGGCAGAGGTCGTGTTGACAAGGCTGGTTGTTTGGGAGACGTTTGTAAACTGCAAACTTTGGAAATCCCAGAACTGCTGGATGCGCTCCCATCCGTCAGCTGAAGGCCGATGGCCTGTGCAGCAGTTAAACTGAGGATGCCAACAGGAAGTTAAGAATTACAATGGATAGGATGCAACCCAGTTCAGGGAGTGTTTGGAGGGATGATTACATCCTAGGACTCACGGCAGGAAAGCTGAGTGTTGTGCTGGGCTCTGCTTGTCGTCTGCCCTGCTGCTGGAGGTCAGGACCCTAGAGACAGCAGGAAAGTAGCTCACTGGGTGGAATAGTTAAAGGGTTCGGTGCTTCACTGTGAAATGATAACAACTGATATTTTGGATTGCGTTCACTCTGCCAAACTGGAGTGCGTAGCCACAACAAATACCGAGAGCCTCTTCTCATGTCTGCTCTTTTGAACAAGTATTTATTACTTGTGTGTGTGTGTGTGCGCGCGCGCGCGTGCGTGTGTGCGCGCGTGCATGCGCCTTCATGAGTTTATACACCATATGTGTACAGGAGCCCTTACAAAGCAGAAGAGGGTGTCAGAGCTCCTGGAACTGGAATTTCAGGCAATTGCGAGCTGCCGTGTGGGTGCTGGGAACCAAGCCCGGATCTCCTGCTCGTGCCGGATAACTGACCCATCTCCCTTTGGATGGTGTTTACTCCCATCCAGGGTGACCTCCCTCCGAAGGTCATCTGAGAGTTACCGTTGACTCGCTCAGGGTCTGTACAGTGTGGCTGCATGCTTCCTGTGGACATGCAGTCATGAAGTCACTGAAAAAATGGTGTTTTTGTGAGCTTACTGAATATTTTAGAAAGTCATAAATGTTGGCTAACACAAGAAGTCATACAATGGAAGTTATTTCCCAGTGCTTATGTTCAAACGTTGAGACCTGCCTTGCTCTTTGGTTTTGTAAGTATAGGGGATATAGGCAGTCTGACAACATTCCTCATTGATTTACATAAATAGATTACCAACCAAATACCAGAGATCTTAGTTTATTTTAATTGGGTTCTATGAAAATTATTTACCATACGGACATATCTGTTGTGTTTTGTCTACCAAAATGATTATCGTTTGATTTGGAGTAATTTTAGGGGGATCCATAGATAAAAAGACATCGTGTGTATTTTGTTCTAGAATTTCCAAAATTAATATTCACAACTGTTGGCTAAAAATGTGTTTTCATCCATTCCGATTAATGCAACTGTTAACTTTTACTAAAAGTTAACAAGTTAACAGTTATTAAAATGTTTATTCGACAATTAAGGCAGGTTTATGTTACAGTGAAGAGCAGGGTTTCTCCAAACAGTGTCTTTAGAAGTGTGTCACCTGTAGCGGTGGTTCCCAACCTTCCTAATGCTCTGGCCATTTAATGCAGCTGTGTGTTAAATAGATGTGCAACCCCTGTGAAAGGGTCATTCGACCCCAGGGGTTGTGATCCACAGGTTGAGATCACTGATATATAAGCTGCTGATGGCTAGCACTAGAGTCTGCAAGTGAGTAGCCTATTGCTTGTCTCCTTGATGTGAGTTGTGAGTTTCTAAGGGGACTGTGGTATCCTCTACTGACAGATGAATACACCGAATGTTTAAAAGTATGGTATTCTTGAACCGGGACAAACAACGTCTACATAACTCCTAACTTTTTATAGCTCACAATATATAGTTAAATGCATAAAAATCCACACAGAAGGCTTAGCCGTCAGAACATTTGTTGCTCTTGCAAAGGATGTTAGTTCAGTTTCTAGCACCCACAGGCTGGCTCACAACCACTTGTAACCCCTATTCTAGGGACTCTGAAGCTCTCTACCTCCAAATGCATCAAGTACACACATGAAACACATATACATGCTTGCAAAATATTTATATACATGAACTAAAAATAATATTCTTCTGTATGCATTGCCACACATCTGTTTAAATATACTCCACTTTGAAGTTTTTCCCTCGCGTTTATCATTTAAGACAATTAGTAGAGGCTTTGTTAAGGTCACCTCGATCTATCTTATTCAGCATCCTGAGTGTGGAGCCACAGTACATTAGGTGACGTTAGCAGGTATTAATATTTTGAAGAACGAGGCATTATTTAATGAAGAGCAGCTTGGGTGGTTAGATGCTATTCATGAATTGTGTTATACAAGAGTCTTGGAAACGGTTTCAGGGTGATTAAGCAACATTGCATACAGCCAGGGTTTTAGGTAATTTCTAAGACAACGGTTTAGGGAGCAGGTGACCTTTTGGCTCAACTGTGTTATGTCCCCATCACAATTTTTCCTTCTTTTGAAAATTAATAACAACAAACACAGACATAGACACACATGGGGGAGAGTCACGGGGGGGGCAGGAAATCCAGGGAGGATACCCCTTTAATAAGAACTGGGATTGTTCATTAGCAAGTGATGAGCTACGCGCTTTTCATTAAGGAATGTCTTCGTTATAATGGGGACTGTTTGGAAAGTGACACTTGAGAGGCCCACTTGGAATGGGTATGTAATGGCCTAGCTCCAGCATTTGTATTTGATTTCATTACATCCCACTTTGGGTTCATTGTAGCTTTATTGCCAAGACAGAGACATCAGCTTGCTGATTTTGTAAGTCTTTCTTTCCTTCGTGAAGAAGTGGTTGAAAGATGTGCTTAGTAATAGTAATAAGGTGGCTCAAACCAGCTTATGGACAGATGGTCAAACCATGGAGTTCAGAGAGCCGTTTTGATGGACTCACCAAAGCCTTTCATAGTGCAGATTTTATACAGTTTATTATAGATTAAGATAACAGTGTTCTGGAGATATTAAAATTTAGTGTAGCTTCAGAAAGAAGTACCAAACTTGAAGCCCATGCACGCCAGAAATACAGTAGTTTGGCCCAGTAAACCAATCAGGCCTTGAAAATTTACTCGAAGTAGCCTCCGAATTGAACCAAGGCAGTGAACCCATGGTTTATCAGCAAGGGGCCTGTGTGTACACACAGTTTCTTGAACAAGTTTTTTAGCTTTGAAATGAAAACATAATATGAATGACATTTTGTTTCCTCTTACTTACATTACATTCATCTCAAGAAGTTTCCATCAGTGTATTTATGGGTGGCTTGTTTAATTCCTCAGACAGCTTGGTGAGACTTGCATGTGAGACAGTGCTCAACCAAAGGCTCTCTGTCCTTGGCTTGAAGGTTCTCTGGATCGCGGAAGGTTCTTTCTGTACTGTTTGTTCACCTGTGCTTCTTACTAGTTTTCCAGTGTATTCCCCCTTTCCATTCAGTGTGTGCTTGACAAGTCATTTAACAGAGCCATCTTACATTCTTAGTCGCCTTTTTTATGATTTCTATAAACATTTGGAATCCATACAGTTTTGGAGTGCATATAGCTCTGTAGTTCCTATTCTATCCTATTGGGATACAGTGGTTTCCCAATATATCAAAACATTGCATAGTATCCTGCGAATACATGCAGTTTTTTTTTCTGTCAGTTGGGTTAAAGTAATAATAAAGCCTTAATTTTTTATGGCATGATTCTACATGAGAGTTGGAATGCTAAAACTAATTAAGAATTTATGCCATTCCTAGGACAGTAATTTTGCAGACTTCTGTGTTTGAAATGTTTCCCCATAGTCCATCATGGTTGTTTTCACAGCCACGGTTGTCCTGGGAAATTTTTTTTTTTGCAGAGTCCGCCGTCTCCAGCAAATGCTTAACTGGCCTCTAATTTTCCCAGCCTGTGAGCTAAGAATTGTTAGAATTATTTTGCCTGGTGGCGAGTTTTTAAAGCTGTTTCCATCAACAAGGTCTACATACAGACTTAATTAGTTAGGACACTCTGGACATATATTTTTGATCTCCAGCTATGTTGCTTTGTGACTAATACAGTCCGTGTTTCACGGCTCCACTGCTGGACTTTGAGATAGGTAATGGCAAGAGCAAATCCCATTAGATATGATCCCATTAGATGTGATCCCATTAGGTATGATCACAAGGCATGCCCTCAGCTGTGTGTGGGATTGAGGCATGCATGGAAGATGCATGGCTTACTGCTTGGCTCGTTTACAGCTACTCATTCTGGTTGTTTCTCCCCCCCTCCTAGGTTATTTGATGTGTGCACAGTGTCACAGACAGACAGAGAGACCAAGCTTACACTAGTGTTTGAGCACGTTGATCAAGACTTGACCACTTACTTGGATAAAGTTCCGGAGCCTGGAGTCCCCACAGAAACCATAAAGGTACCAAGAATCACCCTTCTGTCTGGTGAGACTAGCCACTGTCACAGATTACTCAACACTAGTATTCTTTCTTTCGAAAATTGCCAGAATCGGTGTTTTTGAAACTTAATAACAGTTCAGAATGTCAACTAAGTAAAATGTTCAAAGATTGGGAAATCATGTAGTCCATCCAATAAGTGGGATCTTCAGAGTGGGCTTGCAGTCCAGTTTAATTTTAGGGTGAATTAAAAAAATAAACTAGCTTTAATGCGCATTAAAAATTTTAAAACTACTTATTTGTATATTATCTGGCCCCAATCTTATAAAGTTAGGTGTAACAGATATAACTCAGTATCCTGGTGGTTCTTATTCTTTATGAGATATAATTTTAAATGTCACTCAGTGACACATTATAATTATATGCTGTTTCTGAAGTATATTCACTTGGCTCTTTCTGTTTGTTTTGTTTTCTCCAATTCATAGATTTGTTTGTTTGTTTTTTTAGTCTAAATGGCAAGTAGTAATCTTGGGACTCAAAGGCAGTTAAGACATGCTTTTGGAAGCATATTGACTACAAACAAATTCTTTCTTCCTTTAGTCTAAAGGGAAAGCTACCCAAAGCATTTTAATGCTCTAGCCTGTTACTCTGCTTAACTTCATTTTCCAGTTCATCTGCTAAGAAACGTCTTTTGAATGATGTTCTCAGATACTGGTACTTTTAGACTGCAGCATAATAAATGGTTATCCATTTGGGTTTAGGCCAGGAAGAGTTCTGTTTTCTCCCATCTTGCTTCCATTAAAGAATGCGATGCATAGTGGTGGCTCCAGTTCCTTGTGCGTAGTTTGGAGGCCCTGAAAGCCCTCCAAATGTAGGATTCCTGATCGCCTGTTCTGCACCCTCTTCCTCTGGCATTATACTCCATTCCCATGACTCCGTTTCTCTCCTCTATGTGCTTAATCCAAAAACTCCACATTGATTGTGCCTGCAGAGCAGGGTTCGGTCCCTTCTGCTCACTCTGCTCCCTGACCACATTGAACAGATAACAGTTTGTGATGTGGTGTGACTTCCCAGCTCAGTGGCCGTCCTCTTCATGGACTTTCCTTTAGTCCTGTCTAGGTCTACCCAGATGTGTTTGATCTGCTCTTGCAGGGTCTACCCAGATGCGTTTGACCTGCTCTTGCAGGGTCTACCCAGATGTGTTTGATCTGCTCTTGCAGGGTCTACCCAGGTGTGTTTGATCCGCTCTTGCAGGGTCTACCCAGATGTGTTTGATCCGCTCTCACAGTGGGTATCCAGATGTGTTTGACCCGCTCTCGCAGGGTCTGTCCAGATGTGTTTGACCCGCTCTTGCAGGGTCTATCCAGATGTGTTTGATCTGCTCTTGCAGGGTCTGTCCAGATGTGTTTGACCCGCTCTTGCAGGGTCTGTCCAGATGTGTTTGACCCGCTCTTGCAGGGTCTGTCCAGATGTGTTTGGCCCGCTCTTGCAGGGTCTGTCCAGATGTGTTTGATCCGCTCTTGCAGGGTCTATCCAGATGTGTTTGATCCGCTCTCACAGTGGCTATCGTCTCATTTGCCTTAGAGTAGTGGCTGCACACTCCACTTCTTTGTTGTGTTTTCTACCCTTGTGATTATTTATGTATGTATCTTACTATCTATTTATGTCCTGACTGCCATACTCAGTTAGTTCACATAGGCATACAATAAGACACGTTGCCAGGCTCCCTTCAGACATAATTATTTTAACCAACACATTAGACATTGGTCATTGGCTTTTTCTGATGCAAGTCTTCTACCAGTCATTCCATGAAACCTTTGAAAATATCAAAGTAGCCATATATTTATAGTCCACATTATCTGCTCCATAGAATTTTTTGCGCTTCAGATTTTCTCCTAAGGTATCAGAAGATGATGTGTGGAAGATTTGCATAATTAAAATGTTCGATAAGCCAGAGCGGTGCACTAGAGACAAGGTGTGATCAGATAGGAGTAGAAATGAAATGGGCCTGGGAGATTCTTGGAGATGTGTGTGAAAGGCCAAACGTAATAGGAAGAGAAGCAGGCATGATTGTGGTCACCAGAGGAGTTGGGGAGGGCCAGGGTTAGTGTGAGCATGCTTGAGTGTGAGCGTGTGTGTGTGTGTGTGTGTGTGTGTGTGTGTGTGTGTGTGTGTCAATGTCAGAAGTTGGTTATCAGAGGCTGAGATTCTCCTGAAGGCTGAACAGTTTTTACAGCATTCAGAATTAGTGCCTCTCTAGGTTTGCTGGTAAGTAAGGTTGGGTGCTGGACCCATAGGTTAGAATTATTGGCATATGGTTAATATTAGTGTTTTCAAAATGGCATATAACCATGATCAAATGAGATTAATTTCTACTGAAAGACAAAGGTCTTTGGTTAAATTTAAAGAGTAACTAAAACTTACTTGTTTTCATTCCTGATTTTTAGTATGTTTCCAACGCAGAGTGTTGCAGTGATCTAATGAGGCTGTTATGATGCGAGTATAAAACATACCTTACAGGCTCGTGTGTTTGAACATTCCTTCCCTAGCTGGCTGGAACACCTGGAGGATGGGCCAGCTAGAGGAAGTGGGTCTTGGGACTGCCAGCCTTCTGGATTGTAGCTGAGCCCCACACTTCCTGCTCAGACTGCCTCCTTCCTGGCCAGGGACGTGTGAACAAGCTGACAGTGACACTCTTGACCATGAAGCTGCTTGTCTCCACACCTCTCGCCTTCCTTACAATGACCTCCCATCGTACCCTCTTAGTTGTGAGACAAAATAAGTCATTCATCCCCCGTATTTGTCCTTCAAGGTGTTACATCACAGTGTGGAGAAAAGTGATCCATATAAAAATTATTTTTAAAATTATGACTAATTACTTAGGAGCTCATACAATCATCAAATGGGTAGTTGTTGGGTTAAAGGTATAACTGTTACAAATATTCTTACTAGGCAGTTGTGTCTTCATTTTGGTGAGAGAGAGAGAGAGAGAGAGAGAGAGAGAGAGAGAGAGAGAGAGAGAGAGAGAGAGAGAGAGAGGAGCTTGCATGTGGCAAACATTGGCAAATACGAGCAAAGTGAACCTAAGTCACGGGCTCTTTGCACATGGTCCCGCAGTGTTCTCTAGAGTAGTCACAGCAGCTAGAAGGTTAGAGATACTGCATTGACATTCTCTTACATGTTGTCAGAGTAATTGTAACCAGGAAAATAATTTAACATGGAATAGATACATGGCTGCTATCGTGATTTTTTTTTAATGTAAGAAGATTTAGGCCAAGGACTTTGTCCTTTCCTGTCTGTCTTCTGAGGTGTTCTCATGGCACTGCTAGTTTGACACCTAATAGTCAAGACATTCCAGTGCTTATTGGGGTACTAACTGTAATGGGAAGGCAGGGCTTGGATAAAACTAGAATATTTCATCATGTCTGGACAGGGATAAAAATCTTTGTTTATTATTTAATCAACATCTTTGTTAGAAAACAGCAGATGGAGGGCTTATAAATACCTCTCAGAGAACAGGTTTCCAGATATTTGAATAACATTTGTTTTGAAAAAATTAAACTTCATGAAGCTTTACGAAGTTGTCCAGGTTGATATTTGGGTCAGTTTGTGGAGGATGTCCTTCCATTACTGCATGGTGCTCCCTTCTGTCTTGACTAAAGGAAGTCCCAGTCACCTCTGAAAAACTAGTAGTAGTAGTAGTAGTAGTAGTAGTAGTAGTAGTAATAGTAGTAGTAGTAACAACAACAATAGGAAGAGATTGTTCTTTCCAACATTTTCAAAGTAAACATTTCTAGGTATGATGTTCTAAGACTAAAAAAAATGATGTGTAAAGCTCACCTTTAAGGTGCTGTTATGATTTTCTTTAGGTCCACCTGTTCCTGTCTGATGATGATATTTGCATAGAAAGCTTGTTGA